TAGAGTTGGGATTTCTGGAGATGGTTTGATATATGTAGAGACAAAGAATTCTCTACTTTCTGATGATCTGACAGGTGAAGGCTCAGAGTCATTGTATTTCAGGGTATTAAAGTGAAGCTCTTTGTGTTCATTTATACCCCCAGGTTGATGAAAATGGAAATAATGGCAGTCACGTGACATTCAATCCCTTAATCAGGCCAAGAGTTCTGGCCCCTTAAACTCTGCTTTGGTGCTTGATGTTGTCTTCTGTGCCCCCTTTATGAGGGGCCTCCTCCTGAGCACCAGCATGTTTCTCTATGTGAACAGTCAATTTGAAGTTTTATTATTCTTCCTTCTTTGCTTTGGCTGCTAGAATCTGCATCAGATTTGCCATTCATGAGTAACAATTCAGCAAGATCTATTATGCATTTTCAAACTATCATTTTTCCTTTGTACACATTTACTTTTTTCCTGTTAGGTGGTATACATTTTCTTAACTGTCTAGCCTTTGTTGAAAGAAGAGAGCAGGAGTGTGCACAGATATGGAAAAAAAGAAAGGTGGAGAAAAGAGAGGAGAGGAGAAAGGAAGGAAAGTTAAACCATTTTGGAGGACATTTACATAGAAAAGCTTAATCAGGTGAAAAGCCCAATCCAGACTTGAGGTGACTGATCCTAAATTTAACTTGAAGTATAGATGTAGCCAGAAAAAAAAAACTCCATTCCGTAATAAATTAGTGTTTTGTAAAGCACAAGTCAGTGATGAGCTCTGTATAAAATGAACCAGTCAGTTGGAAGTAATAATTGAAAGATTCTTGATTTTACTCTCAAAGTAGACATGCATTTTATATGATATTGATGTCCAAAAGGGGCAATGTTTCTTAGGCAAGCACATGTAATAGCACCAAGTCTGAGTCATAGTAGATCCTTTGTATAAACTGGAAAGCTACAGGCAGCAATGGGGGTTTGCTGAAACCTGGCTTTTGGTGTGTCAGGAGCTAGGGGACACAAAGTCCCTGTCTTTGAGCTCTGCTACGTTAGCAAATTGCAATTCAAGACAATAAATGCCATAATTGAGTTACATGTATATATATGGGTAATTAATTCTGCTTAAGGGACTCCAGAATGTCTTCATAGTGAGGAAGCCTTTGAGCTTACTCTTAACAAATGAGGGTCCTGAGGTAAAGGTGGACAAAGGAAACTATATAGAAAAGGCAACAGGCATCAAAGTATGTGGTTGTTGGGGATTACCCACATGATAGCTCCTTTCAGAAAACTTCACTAGAGCAAGGCACTAGGCAGAATCAGGTGCCCTAAACCCTAGTACACCAGGCTTTCAGAGAGGTTACTTTTAACAGTTGCCCATCTTCTTTTACCTCAGTCTTTTAATTTGTTTTCACAAACCTGAAGTCTCCTGAATAGCCTTACCCACATTCAAGTTCTCCTACCACTGACTTTTTATTGGCTGAGTGGCTCTAGTTATAATCAATAACCCAGCTGCTAATTTATCTTACTGGGTTTGGGAAAAATCCAGGCTCCTATCTATGGCCAAGATCCTCACCTGACCCCCAACTACTTGGTGATGTACTTGGCCTACTGCTAGGCTACTGCTTCCATACCTGTTGGCAATGAGCTATTATTGACTGAGTCGCTATATAAAGAGCTCTGCCCAGTGCTCTCACAGAAGCTGAGACGGAGGTGGATTACAGACATGCAGACTGCTGGATGCAGGTATGATTCTAGTGTTCTATGACCACTGTGAGAATACAGCCAAGTATAAACCCTTTTACTCCAAGAATGTTCTGTTGCCATTTCCTGGTCTCACAGAATCCATAGTGAACCTGCCAGGGGCTAAAACCCTCAGGCGAGACATTGGGTTTCATCTAAATGTGAAAATGGGTTGGGCCCTGGGGGTTTATCTGCTGTGATTACTGTAACTGTTAACTCTGGGACAACAATCTTTTGGAAATATTCCTGAACAACTTTTAGAATTCAGATACTTCTACTTCACTAAATAAATTTCATTATGGGTTAATGAATTCCATATTCTCTAGTCCTGGGATGCTATTTGGACCTAACTAATTATACCATTACTTATATTGAGCTGAGCCCTGTATATCAGGTTCTCACAGGTGGACAGCCCTCCAAAGCACAAAGACCAGCTGTGGGCCAAGGGCAGAACAGTTTCAACTAGAAGTTTGGTTGCCTGCTGTGTCCAGCTCACCATTTTAGAGTATGATTACTGCTTTGATAAATTGCCATAAGAACATACTATCAATTGATATCTCCCCTAAGACACTTTGGGAGTTCTGTCTGCTTAGGTTACTCAAATACCTGAGTGTGGAAAAACGAGATTCTTTAAGAACTAGGTTTTGTAGGTACAGTAGGATGTATGATGCAGTGTCCATTTTCTGTGACAGCTTTCACTAATATTTTATTTGGCAATGGCATTGTATTTACTCCATGTTAATAGAGGTTAATAATAGCAACAATGTTAACATACTCAGCTGGAAATCCTAGTAAGTTATATTTTTTCTATTAGGTGCTGGGCACTTGGACCATATGACTAATCCTTTCAAGTCTTCAAGGTAGTTAATCTTATTCTCATTCTAGAGATGAGCAAACAGGCTCAAGGATGTTGACTGACAGAAAACCAGGCAACCAAGTAGGAGAACCACTGTTTGCCTACCTTCCAAAGTTTCTACTTTTGTCCATTATGGCTGTGCTTTCTAAAACCAGTAGCCTGCATCAAAACTATTAAAATTCCAGTTCACTTAATATTGTTCTATCATTCCAGCAAGTCAGAAAGGTGATAGTGCTTCCAGGAGACTACTGAATAAAAGCAAGCAAGCTAGTACTACAAATAATGTCCAAATGGGAGGTAGAAGAGTAAATGACCACATCAGAGTAGCTTACGACTGCTCTAGCTCTTCTTACCATGTATTTTTATATTTTTAAACTGAAGCCTCAAAGAACATACAGTTTGGAAGCCCTCCAAAGAGAAACAGTTATTATTTCATGTACTTCTGATAACAGCATAAACTGATATTTTCTAGAGGGCAAAGTGGTAGTAACAGCAGCTATTAAAAACTGGCACACTACCTACAGTAGCAATTCCACTTTCAATATTCATCTTAAGGAAATACACAGAACACATACAAGACTTAGCAACACAATTTCTTCAGTTTATTAGTGAAAAATTGGAAACAACCTAAAAATCAAAACAGTTTAATAAAATGTGGCACATATGATGGGATACCACACAGCCATTAAAAAAGATGTAGAAATATATTAGACACAGCAGGATAGTTATGTTGTCAAGTGAAAAAAAAAGTTACAAAACAGTATGTACAACTTGATCCCGTTTAAAAAATCTATAAATGCAGGAGTCTGGAAGGCTATCACCTAAGTAACAGTTCTCCCAGGACAGTGGGATTACAGGTGGCTTTTGTCTTTTAAACTCTTATTTTAATTTTCCCCGCTTTTCCCAACATTATTTATGACTTGTATTACTCAAAAAGCATTAACAATTCTTAAAAAGTATCCTTTGACGTAGAAACGAGAGCAGAGCTTGGCAAACTGAGGAACAGGAATAGACTTCAGTGGCTTATTGGGGAGCTTCGGTGTCCAATGGTCACTGTGTGGAGTGGAAGTATGGGCAGGAGTGCTTACCTTTCTCCAGACTAAGGGATCTACTCCCAGAAACCCTTCATAGTAAACAAGCACTGGAGTTCCAAGGAGTATTTCCCTGACATACACTAAACATACTCTTGTACCTTCACACCCACTTGGAATTTAGCCCAGGCAGGTCTTCCACAATTTGAGAGCAGTGTTGTTGGTGATGGTACAGAAGGCAGAGAGAATTTCTCAATGACGTCAGACAGTAGGTCCGAAGGTGAAAGGCAAGTTTTCCCTGTTCTAAAGAAGTAGTTCTCAAACTTTAGAGTACAACAATCCCTCAAATGGCTTGTAAAAAGATTGCTGGGCCCTACCCCTAGAGTTTGATTCAGATCTTGGATAAGGCATTTTTTCTTTCATTTGACAAATATTTATTGAGTACATACTGTGTGCTAGGTCTTGTGCTAAGAGTTGGGAATTTAACTGTGATCGAAAGAATTACAGTCTCTACTGCAGGAAGCGAGCCCATTCTTGAGTGACAGATACATACTAAACAAATAAATTATAAACTGTATTAGTGCTAGAACACAGTAAAGAGTTTTTTTAAATGTTACATTGAAGAACTAAGACTAGTTCTACAGCCCCTTGAAGACAAAAACTAAGTACAAATAAAGTAGAAAGTACTTGAAATGTGAATTAGCATTTTTAGTATGTTCCTAGGTAAGGCTTGATAGTGCCCATCTTGGGAGCTCACACTGAGAACCACTGCTCTACTGAATGGACTTTCTAACTAGGATAACATGGGGAAAAGGGCAGGTGCGCTCATGGAATTCCCTTCTTCCCATTTGGGTCTCATCTTGAGGTAAAAGACAATCATCTGGAGAAGGGGCTGAGGCAAAGCTGGCTGTAGGCAAAATTACAAAGCCATCTGACTGTTACCACTCTTATCCACGCTTGAAGTTCTGTATACTAGGGTAACATATTTCAAAATTTCAGGTGTTTGGGAGGTAGGGAAGTTTTTGAGGAGTCCTGTCAGCAAAGCATGGACATAGCTGGGCCTCTCTAAGTAAACAAAGCCGTTGCTTCTTTTCCTGCATTCCATCATCTTCCCCACAGGGTATTTCAGAAATGTCCTCCCAACACCAGCTCCTCCATTTACACTGTTTCTTTATTTTGGTGGGGGATAATAGCACACAGACTATGAGAGTAGACTCTAACCTCCAACCCACTGGAGACTCTGGCCTCAGGCTTCTTATTTCTCATGTTACTCAGAGTGAGGTACATTGCCATTTCTGGGACCTAATCTCCAACAATATTAATTTTTCTGATTAGCACCATAAAAAATGATTTAACACCATGACCTTTTAGGTTAAATTACTTTGAGGACAAATGTAGAGACAACACAATCACTTTTTGTAAGCATCTAAAATTATTTCCAAGTTTATTATTTCATTCATATGTGCATTCATTACATGTTACTATACCTTTATATTAAACTCAAGGCACAGAGCTTATTCAAATAGTTCTGAATTGCACCATGAATTAATAGGCTTCCCAAATGTTTTTTCCATGCCTAAGAACCTTTGTGGGCCTTTACCTGAGTAAAAATTAAACCTGTGACTTTATAAAATAGGCCAAAGTCAAAATAAAAGAAATACCCCCACCCCCTGCCCAAACAACCAATCAAACACAACTCCATTAAAATAAAAAGCATTAAACGTAAGAATAAGCCGATATACTGCGATGGACTTGTGGTAGACAAAGGCACAGAAACCTTTGAACCTTAAAACTATTGAAGGATTGCACTTTATTGGGTTGCTATAATCAATATGCATTTGATGAAAAGCAGAAGGATCTGATAAAGGTTCTGATAAGAACTTACAGACTGTGGTGAAGTTTAACCTAGATCTGGGTCTGATTTAAGGAGGGTGGAGGAAAGGACTGATGAGCAGAATAGAGCATAGGTACAATCAGAGGTATCTGTGGTACACAGTCATAAACAGACTGCAGTCTGGGTAAGTCAGGAAGCTCCAGGGGCTAACAAGGAGAAACTGATGTTTCTCTTATGTGCCAAACCCTCCCCTAAAAATGACCTAACATAAAAGATAACCTCTGCTATAGAATCCTTACAATACTCTTTAAGGTGGCATATTATCTCCATTTTACTAATAAGGAAATGGTGGTTTATATAATATCTGAGTAGAAGCCCAAAGAACACATCTGACAACCACTGGATTTGAATCCAGGACAATTTCACTCCAGTTACATATACTCCTTTCCCTTCACTCTTCTCCTTCCCATAAGCCTCATTTATAGTTGCTGTTTAAGCAGGCCTGAATTTTCTGTATTCTTTTAAAGCCTAAATCTGGACTTAATGTAATAGATGTTAATCTAGGCTGGCTGTAGAACTTCCTTTCTGGGGAAAAGTAGCTTCACTTGGCTCTATAACTAACTGCTTGAGCAGCTTTTGGGGTTCTTTACGGCAATTCAAAATTACAGCATCTTATATACAACTATAAAGTTGAAAAAGAATTTCTCATAACATAAAAATAAAAGGGCAACTACTGTTAAAGTTTGGATGTGACCTAAATTATCAACATGTTTATCGAACTCTTATTATGAGCTCTTGAACACCATTTTAAAACATCCTTTGTATTATTCACCAGTTTTTAAAGTACCAAAATATATCATTTTTTGTAACATTCTCTGAAGAAATGAAAACACTTTTGCACATCGTGCACAAGCCAGACTGAGCTACTTTTATAGTTGTCAGAATGCGTTACACTCTCTTGGTTCCAGACCTGGCACATCTTTTCCCCTCTACCTGGAATACTTCCCTTTCCTAACCATCTCCCATTCCGCAGATCTGAATTAAGTGACTCTCAAAGCTCCCAAATACAGCACCCTGTATTTTATCATGACACTGCTTCTGTTTTATGATAGTCGTTTATTTCTTTTTCGGTATTCTCCACTGGCCTCTTAGGTCTTCAGGGGGATGGACTGTGTGCATCTGGTTCAGGGTAGTGTCCCCAGCTGATTAGCGTAGTGCCTGACCCTCAACAACTCTTTGAAGAATGAAAGAATGAGAGCAGAAGTTCTAACATGGAAACAATCTGCTGATTTGCAGCAATTTTCTGACTTCAAGTGTAACACTAATCATTTTATTAGTGTGTATTCTATAACTCGAGATCCTGATCAAGATAACCTAAGTTCATTAATATATTTTGATCATTTTTTTAGTAGACTAAGAGTAACCAAAGGTATATTGTTTGTATACAATTTATGATAAATGTAGTTGCACTAATTCATATTTTTATAAGGATTTGTTTTTCAATAACAAATTCTCTTTACAGCAGCATTATGTTATTAATGGATGCAATTATGATTATGCATTAAATTGTGCCAACTGAACAATCTTAAAAACTTTGCTTAGTGAATTGAACTTGTTTCAGACATTTTAGAACCTTAACTGCAAATAAACAAGAGAAACTGGTAATGCTTTTCAAGAACTAGTTGTTCTTAAATTTAAAAGAAACCATTCAGTAGTGTTTAATAAAACACCGCCCCCTCCACCCCACAGCACCAGCCCCAACAAATAACCCATTGAAATCATTAAATTTATGTTGGAAAACAAGGTAAACATGGAATAATTGCCTTTGTTTACGGAAACATTCAGAAACATATTCTTCACAAAAGAGTTCTATATCCTAGAGGTCTTTTTAAACCAACAGTTTAAAACAAACTTGAATTTTATTCTTTGGCTATTAGTTATACCTAATAAATGAGTCATTGATATCAATTCACAATAAATTTATTTTTATAAAAGAAAAGCTTGCTATTAATGAAAAATTCAGTAGAAAACAGTTCTGCTTTAAGTTGGGGCTCAAAAGTAGAAGCTGCTTGTTAGTGAAACCTCAGTAGAAAGAGAATTTTGTAAGAAAACATTCTCAGCAAGAAAACTCTAACATAAATTCCATAATGAAATATTTACCATGCAATTTTATTGGCAGAAAGACTGGTTTCTGATGGCTGGTGTTTTTTTTTCAGTCTCTTAAGACATTAACATGGAAGACACTTAAACCTGCTTTATTTTGAGTTAATTGTATATAAATACAGTGTCATGATGGGTAATCTTTGTAATCTTTCAATAGTCCACCTAGCTAATTGAGCAGTTCTAAGTAGGTAATTGGCACCCTACCCTTCTGATTTCCTCTTTCCCCCATTAGCCAGTCTGAATCCATTCCAATGACACTGAACACAGTGATCACCTACAAAATAAAATATTTCCAGTTATTAACTGTTAAAAAATAAACAGAAAATTAATCAGCTTTGTATTTAAACTACTCACTATCAAAGGGCATTTAAATATTATTATCAATTTTGCTGAAAGATTAAGGACTTCATTAGAAGCAGTTTTAGAAATCTTTCAGTTATTAGTTAAAAGCTTTATTTCTGTGATGTTCCATTTTGTTAAACATAAGTTAAAATTTTATAAAATGTAATACAACCACCTGAAATCTATGAAAGCATTCATGGTAAACTATTTCTAAATAAGTAATGAGGAATTTGCATTTTGTTATAATACTAGAAGGTATGTCAAGTCATGATTTTCTTCTCATATTCCCATTCCTTACCTCATCTGCCAGAAGTGATAATTCACTACTATTTGCAGCATCATAATCATATAGAACCCTGGCCTTCCTGCTGCCACTGCACTCCTTAAGGTCAATGAGGTTGGAAGGAGTGGTGATTACGAGGCCACTTGTTGGAGTCAAAGAAGAAGAACCAATCACATTTGATGAAGCAGCAGATGATATAGGTGCCACCGATGTCTGATTGTTGTTACAGTGATAATTGGATGGAAAACTGTTGAAAATAAAATGGCCAATTATCTTTCCAAAGGAATAAAGCTCCTTAATACCACCACTTGGTGGCAGTGTTTACCTCTTACTAACCCCCACTATAGATAAAAATTTATAGATATTAATATTTTAATGAGAGTGTACTATCTAGCTTATACCTCTTGGGCCAATTACACTAGAGGAAATTCAGGTGGTTTTCAAATATATATCCTTGAAAGTTAAATTTCAAAACTGTCCTTACAATTATAAATTTGAGTTTTTTTAAAAAAAGCACAATGGCTATACCAGAAAAAATAAAAAATGAGTTTATCCTTAAAAGGACTTCCAGAAAACTTCTATTAGTATGTTTTATTAATCTTTTCCTCCTTTTATAAATCGTTAAATAAAACTGTCAGTGAAAAACTAAATATTAGATGCTACAAGGTTTCTCAATTCTTTCAGAAATATTTCAGTAATTGAACTCTTTTAAAAGGATTGATCCAATCACATTTTCCTATTCATTCAAATGACAAATTGAGTATCTACATGTCCACCACTGCTGCCACAAGCTGAAGACTCAAGACAAAATGATACCATTCCTTTATGGACATAGAGACAAGTATAGAGATGGCTGTTCAAATACCATGATAATTATAGTATTTTATTATAATATTATCAAAAAAATACTGATAATTATGATTAAGACATTAAGATAATGGGAGACTAGGGAAAATTTTACAAGTTTGTCTGTCTTCTATATTTTAGGGGAAAAAAAACAAAGGTTTTATTACAAGTCAGTGAAATCCCTATGATTCATGTGCTTAGAAAGAAAATTAGAATTTTCAATTTATTATAAGGCTACTGTTTTTCCGATTGTACTAAATGGAAAACAACATAAAATGGAAGGCTTATAATCATTCTAATTCAACCATTTCTAAGGCTGAAAATTCCCTATGAAAATTCATATTTTAATTTTAATAAATCCATATAAATTCATGCCTCCATAAAATATAATTTCCTTCTCTTGGAAGTTAAGAGTCAGCCAGAAGCAAAATTCCCTCTACTCTTAACCTCTAATCCTTCCTTTTACCCCTTATACCTGTGCTTATCTCCCACACTCCTTTTATCATTGAGGTGGATGGTGTAGAGGTGGAGGAAGCAGGAACTGCATGTTCCTTATTACTATTAATATTCTTCTCCCTAACCAATCCTACCTAACGTATGGATTTCTATTATTTGACTATATATTACCCACCATCTCTTGTTGCGATCATCTACAGATGCCTCATTCCTTTTCCTTCATTTCTAGATTCTAGCTCCTGGCTCACTGACACTGTAACTTAACTTGGTGATATTAATATTCATACAGACAATTCTTCCAGCACTGTGGCCTCTCAGATCCATGAACTCCTCTCTTCTAATGATTCTGTGCCTGAACCTAGTTCAGCCACCTGTTCCCACTGCCTCCCATCTAGACCTTATCAATTCTAAAAACTATAACTCTCCAGTAATCAAAACCGCCAACATCCTATTCTCCAACCATCACCTTTTTTTCTCCCCTAGCACTTCTGCTACAACAAGCCTATCTTGGATCTATAGTCTTACTATAGACCTACCATTTGATCCTTCCAACATGCCCTCATGTCCATGGTTAGTTATTATAATCACCCCCTTGTGTGTATCTTCATCTCTTATGCCCCTCACTTCATCATACTGACTTGGTAAAAATCTCCCTATTGGTCTATTCAGTATCCATGTATCTACTATGAGAATAGAAAAATGCAAAACGATGTTGTCTGGTCTTACATTAAATTTATGAGTGGGAACCTCAAATAGGTCCACAATGCTGCCTGGCAATCACACTACATTTCTCTAGTCCACTCACTTTCCATTCTCCTGATGATTATTTCATACTCTTTCACTCATCCTCAAAATTCCAGCAATTCTCTCCTAGCCTTTCCATTCAGCTCATGTGTTACTTCCTTTTTAACTGAGAGGAAAAAGAACAATTAGGAATCCATGCTCTGGCCATTTCTCCTCTTACTAAAGATGCTGTTGATGCTGCTAATAAACTTCTCTACCTGTGCATAAAATCTCATCTTCTTTTTCCTCTCAAGGATATCACACTAGCAGTTCTTCCCTTTTCTCCCCATTATCATATCTCTACATTTACTCTATCATTTCTCCTGTCTTTAAAAACAAGCAAAAATTTGCTAGCCCTTACTGCAAACAAGCTTTTGCCCTTACTGTTCCAGCAAAACTACTCTTGTCAAGGTCAGCAATGACTTCAGTGTTCTAAACCAGTGGTCTATTAGCAGTCCTCATTTCACTTGACGTATCTAAGTGATCACAGTGGGTCACAGCCCTCCACTTTCCTACATCTTGACTTGACTTCTGGGCCACACACTTGGTTCACTCTCACCTCACTATTCATTCCTTACCATCCTCCCTAGCTGTCCTCAGCTCTGTGTGGGAGTACTTCAGGGCTAAGCCCTCAGCCCTCTGCTTTTCTCCACCTATACTTATTGCCTTGCTGATACCATCTAGTCTCACAGACTTAAATATCTTTGATGTGTTGATGACTCTAACTTACATCTCTACTTCACTGCCCCCAAACTCCAGACTTGTACATCTAAAATTGGATATACCCACTTTAGATATGCAATGGACTTCTCAAACTTATCATGTCTGAAGCTGGGCTTCTGATATACAGGATGTACCCTCCTTCCCCACCCCATGTTGCTCCTCCTGGGGCACTCCCCATTTTAATTAACCACAGCTCCATACTTTCAGTTGCTCAGGCCAAATACTTGCAGTAATTCTTGGCTCCTCAGCCTCACATACATGAAGTCTGTCATTAAATCCTGCTGGCTCCATTTTAAAATACACCCAGAGTTTGACCTCTTTTACCACATCTATCAGGCACCCTGATTCAAGCCACCACCATCTCTTCACTGGATTCTTGACTAAATTATATGTGCAGTAGGTTCCAAACAGGTCTGTTAGGTTCCACCCATGCCCTTTAACACCTGTCTTCAAAAGAACAAGAATGATCTTGTTGAAGGCTAAAATCAAATCACGTCACTTTTTAGATCAAAATCCTCCAAAGATTCCTCATCTTGAGTAAAGACCAAAGCCAAAATTGGCTTCCAAAGCCCTGTGTGCTCCAGCTCCATTCCCCAATTCAGCTCTAACTAAGCCCTCCCTGCAGCCGCTGGAACAGAACAGCTAGGTTCTTGCTGCAGGGTCTCTACTCTTGCTGTACTCTCGTCCAGAAGTATTTCCTCTCAGATGCCCCACGCTTTGCTTCCTTATGTCTTTCAAGTCTGTTTTCCCTGACTACTGCAAACCTCTACCCTCAACCAAAATACTTCCCTGCTGTATTTCTCTCCATAGCATTTACCACCTTCTCATATATTATGTTTGTCACATATATATTGGGTTTTCTATTCCCCTCTACCAAATAGAATGTAGGTTCCATGAAGGCAGGGGTTTGATCTATTTTGATTACATTGTAATCTTTCATGTCTAGAATCATGCATTTTTAAAAATTAAAAGGAAATGTTTCTCTGATGGATAAAAAAGTTCTAATGATAAAAATAATAAGTTCCTAATTCAGGTTTCACTCTAACGTTAAGAACATACTTCCTAGCATCTCTTCCTCAATGAACTCAGTTCCTTTTTAAAAAATTATTTCATTTTTACTCAGTTTCTCAGCAATGCTTAAATATATACACTTCTGATGATAAAAATGGTAATAAGCTCTTCCCCCACCCATACGGTGGTGTACATATACATACACACACACATGGCTTTTAAAGTCTCTAACCATGGAATTTACTTTCAAATTTACTAGCATAATTAGCCTTCAACTACTGAGGTCTACCTACGTCAATTTTGGGGAATTAATAGTAAAGGGAAAACAACTCCCAACCAACTGAAAAAAAAAGAAGTCATTTACACCTTCTAAGAACTTTCATTGATATGTTTAAAAAACCTGTAGAGTAGCTGCCACTGCAGCTTCAAATATGAAACCTTCCAATAATTTAACAAATACATTTATTAATCTTGCAACTAGTGCTTTCGTTTCCTCATTTGAAAAATGTGCATAATAAAAGCATCTACCTCACTAGCATGAGGACTCTAACATTATTACACATGAGGTACCAGAAGACTGCCCGGGACAACCGGAGCCCTTGTTACGTGACTGCTGTCATTCAGTTACCACTTCTACCGACACTGCTATTACAGCCATTAACATTACAACTTGGTATCTTCTCATCCCTGTTAACATTCTTTGGTGCCAGAAGAGCTCAAAATGTTTTTGCTACCTCAGATGTTTGATAATTACTTTCCTTAAAAAAAAAAATCTATTTTAAGCAAGCTAATAAAAGCATTTAATTCTTCTAATCTTCACCTCTATTATTAGTTCATATGCAAAAATCTGAATTTCTTCTCTTATCAGGAGTTTCACATGTTAAAAGGATATTACCACCTTCCCAGTTGTTTCTGAAGGTCTAACATGTACTGGTAACACTGTGCATAGTAAGTCATCTGGGCTTCTACAAAGTCATTCAGGCAGCGGAGGTGATGGGCCTGTAAAGGAAAGTTACAATCACTTCTGAGTCCTCTAGTTAGAGTGGTAAATGTGAAGGGGAGACAGAGCACAACATTGTAATCATCAGTATCTAGCAGTTCATTACAAGGCTCATTAAGAATGACCTCAGTCACCAGTGTGGTAACAATCTGTTAGCAAACAAAAACTAAGAACTGGATTTGATGACTGGAGGAGAACTATGTAATGAATTCTCTTAAATACAAAAATTTTAAATATTTTTTATAAATCTTGGAAAGTGCCACAATTTAGAATTCCTTAATAAATGACTGAAAAGGAAGTTGAGTTCTTCCTCCCCCAATTGCCTTAGAACTATCAGTCTTTTGTTGCAATGAATTTCCAAGGAATGAACACTCACATGTGTACTGCTGATTCCCTCTAGCAGAAGTCTGGTAATCTCTGCTTGACGATCAAATTCACTTTGAGTTATTCTTAATTCCTGTTCAGACTTAAATTAGAGCATAGTTTTAGAATCTCATTAGAGGACTAAGTCCATTTTATATACATTTGTTTAGACAGCTAAAAGATCCTGTAAACAAACCCCAAGTGATAACCTGTCAATTCCCTGATTTTGCTTTATATCTAAAGTGGTCCTTGGTTTCCAGACCTTAGCTTTTCTAGTATTACTCAATCTAGACAGAACTGACTGCTCACCAGTACTTGACTTAAAATAATCTATTCATGTCAAAGCTTAATGACATATACATGAAAACCTAGAAAAAGTACAGGACAGTCAATATGTTATCATATATTTTCTAGTACCAATTTTGCTAATTTTAACATTTTACAAGATTTAAAGAATATCAGTTTACATGTATAAAATTTCAAGAAATTCTTAATTGTAACACTGTAGGTAAAGATGGCCTTCAATCTCAAATGAAAAAACTTCAGAGTGAAGCTACAGGATTATAATCTCTTATATTTAGTTACCAAATACACACTTGTTTCTAGGAATACAGTTCTTGTTTTCTAGGAAAAAGGATTCTTTGTTCTACATTAATGTCTTTCTTTTTAGTTTTCCTTCCAAACTCCATAAAATATGCATTAAACAGGAATATTATCTATAACATATGCTAGGGTTTATCTTCAAGTTATGGGTGACCTTCAATTGATTGTAGTGTGCTGGTAAACTGGCTCTTCAGGAAATAAAATAAAGCTCTAATATATTGATTTTCATGGTATCAATACTTCTACTGTAGCTCTTCAGGCTGTCAAGGTGAAGTCACTGACGTGGAGCCTGACCGGGGTGTGCACGATAGCATACAACTACAAGCATCAACTCTCTGGTACGGGCTTAGTGCTGGGACAAAATAGTTCACTAAAAACTCAGCGATCTAAAATAGTAAATTATAGCAAAAACATCCCAAACCTTTAGCAAGAGCTGGTTGGTAGTTAAGTGAGGAGGAGAAAACAGAATATCACAGCTCACTCAAAATAGTCACCTTACCTTGCTGGGAATCATCAATGGTGATTCTGTCACTACAATGGTATTTTCTACTATTCTTCAGGATAAACAGCTTTCTCCTCTCCAAATAATAACAATACTTCTAAGACTGTCTTAAGTATAAAAACAAGGTCTGAACTTTTTCCTTTCATACCCCATTTTCCCTCTCTTCCACATTTTGGTGGCAATAGTTAACCTAGTGAACCTGTCAACAAAGTAGTAGCAGCAAAATAGATCATCAGTTAATATAATCACGCCCATCCCAAGGCAACAGACCTGCTGGCAGAAGTGACTAAGAAATGACCACTAACTGAGTTTATGGAAACAAGCTTGAATTACTCAATAAGTCAAGAGTTAAAATTAAATTTACTTGACTGAAACCAGAACACATGGTGCTTTGATAACAGGGCTGAATAAGCTTCATCTGGAAGGTACTATGAAGCAGAAAAAAGTCCCAGGAGAAGAAAAGAATTCTGTTCCTCCTAAGGAATGTGTTAAGGAAAACCAATCACTTCAGTGTTACATTTGTACCATTTACTGTTCTGCTTGGTTGAATACAAACAGGTTTTGATTAAAGTAAGTAACCACAGCAAAAATAAAATAAATGAGCTTCAGAAGTAAATGAGGATAGTCCCATATAGGTTTTTGACTATGAAAGTACAATTTGATTTAACAGCCCTAGTAGAAATGGCAGAAAATTCTTCTGTAACAAGCTGTAAGCAAGTAAGCTAGGTAGTAGATTAAAAGTGACCAGGAATTTGGAATCTGAAGAGGAAATATACTGAATAAAAAAATTTAAAATGATCTCACTACAAAGGATCAGTCTTCTATGTTTGAGGAAAATTTAATTATTTGTGAAGAAAGGCACCATGTTAAAAAGCCTGGGAACTCATTCTCCTGTACAATGTAGATCTTTCATTTAGAAAAGATAAATGACAAGAGGAAATGAATCTCATCTGAACAGGTTTCAGTCTATGTTTGGGGTGGATGCAAATTGTCAAATGTCCCAAACCTTCTCTACTTCTGACACATATAATTGGTCACAATAATTAGTCTGAGAGGCCGAGGTAACTGAAATTAGGTTTAGCATACCAATTTACATAGGAAGAAAATACTCATTTTAAAGGGGTTTAAGAAAAACAATGAATTTAAAGGATTTTTATTCTGTCCTCCAGAATATCTCATTCCCTGACTTAATTTTGTGATTAACAGAGGCCTAGAATTTTAAGGAAAACATTTGCTTAGAATTACTGTTACTGGACTAACTGGAGTATAGGACAGCATAACTTGAGTAAGGAAGCAAGAAGAGTGCTTTCAGGCTGTAACTTGAGAAAAAGGGTAAGATTTTGTTGGTCTGTGACATCAGGATCAGGTGACTATATGTAGAAATTTTGGGCATGCTTTTGAGGCATTTGCTGTGACAATCTTGTTCAGTGCTATCTACTTTTTCTATGGGTGTAAATCTTAAAATATTCCAGGAATATGAATATTTAAAATTATATACTTTTAAATTACAAAACTGACAGAAGACATAGAAGGAAAAAAAACCCCAAGTCCATTTTGATATATATTTTTTCATCTATACATACATAAAATCTGTTTCAAGCATTTTTTCCCATTATATCAAAATTTCCCAAACTTAAAGGACTGCAGAATCAGTTTTTTTTGGTGTAGTTGTATGCTAACCAAAGTGGAAGAGACCCTACTTTTCCTGTTCAACCTACACTCTTCTATGTTACTCTGCCCCTTTTTCATACTAGAAGTTTAGAAAGAAATCAAAGGCCAGGGTGGAACCATAAATAAGTTAATGAATGGATTCCACAAAGGGGAATGACAGCATGAGTCATGAATTTCCCAATGGATTTCCAAGTCATAGAATGAATAGCTTCATTTGTCCTATGCATGAAATAGACTGTATAGTCAGCAATCCTACAGAGTTAGAAAATAAAGTTTGTAAAACAATGAATAGTCAGGGGCCACAAGTACAACCTGCCCTCATTCCCCATCACTGTCCTCATCTGAAGTTAGATTTTGGTAGGTTTAAACATGGGAAGTAAATTAAAAATACTTCTGTAGACCTCAAATAGCATTTGAGACAAATCTGCACTCAAGTCATAATTTTACTCCTTAAATCTATGCTTAGTTATTTGATTTCCCTACTCATCCTCAGCTTCTAAAAGTGACAGCCTCATCCTTAGGGAGGAGACAACATACTTCAAAAACAAACAACAGATTCCATTTTATACAGTACAATAATGGATAATCATAATAATGACCCTAACTGTAACTAAAATTAAATATATATTATCCTGCACTTAATGCAGCAGTAAAATACATTCTTACAAATATTTTCAACTAAAATGGCAGAAAAGTTAGCTCTAGTGCTGAAAAGAACCAAGCTTCAGTTACATAGAAAATTCACTTGTGTGACGTGATATATTCAATTTTCTGAAAGGGCAGGATGTTAACTATTTTACATAATTAACATATGAATAAGCCAAGTATTTAAACTGTCTTTTGGCAAAGCACTGTGAAGATTACCACTTAATATCACAGGTATTTAGTATTTATCAGAGCCTGTACAAGACACATTTCTGCATCATTGTCCTAGTGCTCTGTGGAGTTATTACTAGCCAAACAGACCTGAGCTTTCCATAATTTTCCGTTTTTATAAGTTATGTAACACAGCCTATGACTAGCTGCATGGTTGTTGACCAATATTTATATAATCACAATTGTTTCATAATTCTGTGGTTTAATAATTTACTTACTTTTGTCACTTCCTCTGCCCAAATCTAGCCAGCATTAAAAATTAGAGAAATATATAGCATGAAAGTTGGACTTAAACATTTTCTACAACTTAGTATAGAAAAATGTATTTTAATTCAAATGGAATACTCTCCTTTTCCAGAATCACATTAAAAGATTAAATACAGTAGAAACTAAATCAGTACAGCTTTATATACTGTGAAAGTAAGCCTTCTTTAATGTATCCATACTATCAGTTTCTTTGAATCTTGTACTAATTCTATAAATTTGTAGTATTTCCAAACAGTTTTCCAAAATTGGGAACATTTAACCCCTCTTAGTTCTAGTTCTCTCATCTGTAAAACGAAAGGTTTGGACGAAATGATTGTCTCATTTAGGGCTAAAATTCTAGAATTTTAGGCAATTAAAATAAAGTAAGGATAAATGGACACTGAATGTGAATGATACAACTGTGGGGGTGGGGGGACACAATAAACTTGATATATAATGAATTTACAATTACCACAGTTAAATATGTTTTACTACAAGTAGATGACATCAGTAGTAAAACAAATGCCTAATAAATGAAATAGTCTTGCTTATTATTTAGGATATAAAGAAAAACTATGATTTATATACTAAATTACCAATGACTGAAATAGTCTCACACTTTTCATTTATCTACAGATAGGACAATGGAAACAAATGAATGCATTCTCTTGCTATCTAAGCAAAGCTCTTATTCAGCCCAGGGCTTCAATAATTACAGTAGTTTAAAAAACAAAAATGCATTTTACATACTCTGTTCAATAATCTTCCCCGGGCTTTAGGTCAATGCTAATGGATAAAAGCAGTCAATTAACTGCCAACTTATTATTAATTGTACTGCAGATTCCATGCCACTTCTATGGAAGTGATGTACCTAGGCATATAATACCAAACACCACATCTTTAAATATTTATTGGCTAACATTTATGAGTTTTTGTGCTATGCTCAGATTTTATGAATTTCTGTTTTATTAAAAAATTAAAAACTTCTGGCATCTCAAAACTTTCCTCAAACCAAGCTCATTATATGCACTGGATACTGTAGAACAATTTTAATTTCCAATTCTTGCCCAAGGCTATCACTGTTCTGAAACATGTGAATTAGCACTGGGTGGGGCATAAGCCTCATTACTACAGAAATACTCAACTACTGGGGTTTGTCTCATCCTGGAATTGCAGTAGAAATTAGTTCTATGTTGAGTTTGGGTGAATATTAGGGTAAACATTAAAGATACTGACAAGCAAAGTAAATTTGTACCCCCTATATTCTCTAAGTATACTTTGTTAATTTTCTTTGCTACAAGTGAATATATGAAGTGCCAGTTAAAGTAACTTTTATCTGATATAAAAGACATTGTGTGTTTACATTCTAAATTCTGAATTTGGTATAGCTAGTGTATCTGGCAATCAGAACACATAATTTCTTTTCTTCGAGTTTCAATACTACTTCAGCTAGTATTCCCTGTGCTTTTTGTTAGACTAAAGAATGCATGGCTTTGACTATTACGGACTCTTACAGGTAGATAATAGCAAGAGAAGGCACTTTAATCAAGATGTAGAAAACACATTAGGCCAACAAACCTTCAGCCATTTTACATGCAGGAAGTTGAGCATGTGAGAGAAATTTACCATAATGTTATCTCCTTCAAGGCGAGTTGCGTTTAGTTGCTTAAGTGCATAGGTAAGAGACAAAGAACACATTATACCAATGAACATGGTGAAACAAGTTACTTCTGCACAATAAAGAACACACAAAGTATTCAAGAGCTGATAAAATGGTTCTCTACTTAACAAAACAAATTATATTGTTCTATGGAATTTCACTTCGTATTGTGGTGCCTATTCAATTTTTCCAAAAGATACAAATTTTTCAAAGAAAAATAACATGGTTGATGCTTGGATTTTAAATGAGAATCATTTGGAGAGAAAATGCATCACTTTAAAAACTGCCACAATTACCTATAATTTTTATTAAATTTTCACCTATGAAAGCCCTTCTGCCTACCCACATCTTTCCTATTCAAAGGCCATTTCTATTTTATGAATGCATGATGCCTTCAAAAATGTTCTCTTTCAATCAGCTCAGCCAGGTCTTTTGCATACCCTGAAGAAGTATGAAAGGCGTGTCAATCCTTGTATTTTTATAAACTATAAAGTCTAACATGTATACATTAAAGTAAAGGTTATTGATGGTGCTATAAATTCACTCACTATAAATTAAAAGATTTAGATACCTGTGGAAATGCTTAAGTGGGCAGAGGGACATATTTGTTATATTGTGTTACTTGAAGAAGATACATTTTCTATCAAATCTGGATACCCAAAAGTAACAGAGGTTTAAACTGCTAAATATTAGAGAGCTTGGAAACCAGATGAGTTTTTTTTCTCTTTACAAAACACTAAAATAATTTTTTAGGAGTTTACTTAACTCTAAGGTTAGGTCAGTAATATCAGTGCCTTATAACTTAAATGCAGAAGTTATATGTCTTTGCTTCTTTTAATGTTTTATACTGTTTTCAAAATTACATTTTTGTTTGTTGTGAAATATTCAAGTAGGTTTTCTCTTTTCTGCTCAATTGGTTTATTTTTGAGAATTGCCTTTGATATTGCTTTACCATTTTTCAATATGCTAGCTAATAAAACACAATTTAGTAGAGAAGAAATACTGGACACAAGCATAAATATTTTACCAATACAGCTAAATCATCAAAGTTCAATCTACTCTACTAGACTGTGAATTGAGGGCAGCAAAGGTTTTACATGAACTCCCCTCAGACAGCCACCTTGTACAAATTTACATTTGATAAATAGAGAATTTTAAGAAACGTTACAAGAAACTAGTAAATGAATTTAAAAAAAAAGGGGGCTACTATGCACAGGTGCCAAACCTTACTTGTGGAGGAATAACTAGTCACACAATAGAAATCAAAAAATAAGTGAAATCAAAGAAAGATATGATGAAATTCTTCAGCTGCTAACCAGAAACCAGTAAATGGGTGAAAGGAGTAAGAAAAAAGTAAACCCAAACTCCTCATGGTTCCTATTTTTCTGTATTCTTCTAGCAAGCATAAGAGAAATACAGAAAAAAAGGAACACAAAGTATAGGCATGCCTCAGGGCTTTATGTAATAAAAACTAAGAGGACTTTTCCTTTCTCAAGTATTTCATACTTACTGCTATCAAGTTGAAGAGAAATGAGTTGGTTGTATAGGGGGAAAGAATAGAACTAAAATCAGGGAATGTGTATTATTCTCTAGACTAATATTTTTAATACTTAGCTTTAGTTAAATTGTTTTATGTAATACATAAATTCTAGAGAAGCTGTGTATAAGCTAAATTGTTGGATAAAGTCACCTGTATAATCTTTCATTTTTATTTTAAATGTAAATCCCCATGAAAAAAAAGTTTTGTCTTCAACAATACACAGAACGGAAGAATTGTCTAGATCTTTCTGGATATATTGAAAGGAAATATCTCTAAATAATTATTTACTATTATATTTAGTTCTTACATTTTAATAGCAGTGATAAAATAATTTAAAATAATCAATGGACCTTGTATACTGTTAAAACTATGAGCTTTCTGGCATTTCTCCAGGTAAATAAGTATTATCCTTTAATAGTGTTTCTTAAAGAAAATTTTATACTGACACTTAACAGTATTCTTATTCTGTGATCATCACTGGGCACATGTGGGCATGAATAAAAAGATTCTGTTCTAGTTTGAACATTTACTTCCAAATGATCCTACTTATCAACATTTTTTTTCCTGATTATGAAATTAGTATCTTAATAATCAATTTATATTTTACCATAAATTTACTATTAGCTTCTAGAAACTAATATCCTAATTCAGAGTCTCTTGTCATCTACATATTCATTTTTAAAGTTCTGATTCTGCAAAAAGCTTATTTAGGGAATTTAGGCCGTTCTTGTTGATGTCATGAAAAATTCTGAGATGAAATAGCCCCTGCATTTGGAATTGATGTCCTGTCAAAGATGGCTCTTCTCCATCAGTAGTCAAAAAAGAATGTGCAAAAGGGGAACCATCTAGAAGAATATAACTCACTCTGCTCAGACAAGGTACTGGAGTAATCTCCCAGGACATCACTGCTCAATACCAAGTTATCAGTTTTAAATTTCACTCTAAACCAAATCTCAACCTTTTCTTTCCCAAAACAAAGAGAACCACAACAGACTTCTACCAGCACTATGGTAATGTCCCATAGGGCAATGATTCTTGGTGGTAGTAAGCTGGGAACAAAAGGCAGTGGGAATGTTATGCCTCTTAACAAAACATTCCCTTAGCTCAAATTAAGAATGAACTCAAATCTGTTCAAATTTAGGAATAGAGATATATAAACAGTATAAATATTAGATTAAATGAGAAGCTGAAAAATAAAACCTTTTAAGAGAGTTATATTCATATAAAACCACTGAATGATATATTTAATATATCCCTACACAGTTTTAGAAGACTATTCTAAGGTTGATTTTATGAAAAAATATACCAGGACTTATTTACCCCAATTTCTTCCTCTTTAAAGTAGTCACCTGAGAGTCCATGTTGCCACTGTTTGAATGGTTTTGGAACTATTCTTGGTGACAAATGCTTTAGTCAGTTTGAGTCACAAATATAAAGAGAGTCACACCAAATTTTTAAGCCATTCTCAAAACTTGATATTCCATTTCAAATATAATAAATCTATTTCTAAAAGACATACAGGCCATCAACAGTGAGGATATTTAAAGAACATGACACAACTCTAGGAGCTCTTATAATTTTTGCTTTTTAGCAACAGGTATATTGCCAAAATAAGACTATTGCCAAGACTACTCTGCACTGATTGGGATCTATTAAGTTCTGATAAGTTTGCTTAAAAACACAAAAATAATACCCTAAAGTCATAATTAGTCTTAATGATAGATTACAGTTTGCATCTTATGTACGTAAAATACTTTACAAGTCTTAAAATTATTAACCTAAAATATTTTTCTATTAAAAACACTACTTACTGAAGCTCTAGTTTCTGCAGTTTTTGCCTTTTTAAGTCTGGTTTTTGCAGCATCCAAATCTAGTCTTTTATTTTGTAATAGTTTTCTTTCTTTCTATAAATATAGGAAAGAAAAAAGAAAGGCTAATGATGTTAAAATCCAGTAAGAGGATACACATTTAAAGTATTATTCTCCATTAAATATATGAATAATCTGGTAAACAAAAATCTATGATTATAAAGTTGGCTATATAAAGTATTCAGGTATCCAACTCCCCTTTTTTCTTTTACTTTTTCCAATTTTAAAATGATAGAGACATTCTAGATATCTGAGAAATCTGGTAAAGATGCACATGATGGCAGAAACAAAGTAATATCAATTCTAGTATTTTGCGATTTTGCCCCCTAGAGAACACCTGGCAGCATCTTTGTGGCTGTCACAATGGGCTGGGGCAGGGCGGACATTACTAGCATTACTGGATGGAAGACAGTAATGCTGCTGAACCCTCTACAATGCAGTATAGCTCCCTTCATGAAGAATTACTTGGCTGAAAATGTCAGTAGTGCCCAGGTTGAGAAACTGTTTCAAACTCTTATGGATTATCTACAAAGTATCTAAGGTGAAGGTATGGGCCTAGGACAAAGCTCCTCGATACCCTCCATGACTACCTCTAGGATGGGGTAGGCTGCACAGAAAGCAACTCTACCACTCCAAATTGGAATTTCAAATATTTATAGAATGAATAATGAATAAACAGAAGTATAGTATTTTAGAAGTCCTCATGGGAACCTCAAGCTTCTGTGTAACAGGTGAGTTTATAAGAATCACTGTTTGTATTATTAATTCTTAGACAGATTTCATATATCAAATTAAGTCCTTTTGACAATCCAACCTATCTTTTAAATCATATTTCAACTTGGTGGTTTTTCCTTTGTCTCAGGCCAAATACTTTTTACCCAGGGAAAAATTCATTGTAAACATACTCAGTTTCTAGAATATTTGTTATTATTAATTTTTATAGTAAGAAATCTGCCAAGTGAAGTTTTGAAGTAGTATTTACAATAAAGAGCAGTCCTGCAAAAATCTTAGGAAAAAAATGTCCACCTAATCTCTACTTCCCATCACTTAAAAGCAAATTAAATTTAAAAAATTGTAGACTAATGGATTAGGTTTGGTAAAGTTCATATAATATTTATTTCTTATTCTTCAGAGCAATACAACACAGCTGTTTAAAAAGAAGATAACAGACTTCTAGGGATGCAGAGAGACAGAAAGTCTAATAACCAGAAAAAAAGTTCTGGTAATTAGGATTCTGGCTCCCAGATGAAATGAATAGTTATATGGTTATAGTACAGTGTTATTTTTGGTCTATATTTCTAATCATTCCAGGAACTTCTTTTTAGATTTTAGTGTTGGTAATGAACAGTTGATGTAAAAGCATCTTAACAGCACTAACAGGGACACAAAAATGGAGGTCCTATCATCAGTCATTTTTATTTTGGTTAGTTTTGTTATGTGAACATGCACCTAGCTAGATTATTTAAATTTTCTAATCTCTACATCTATACAGTCACTTCGAAGGCAAATTGCTTATTAAAAACTGTAAGTATATATTTATTTTACTAAAAAAGGGGAATATTTTCCAACTCACAGCAATTGTTTTGTAATCTCCTTCTATAAAGTTTCTTAAAGGAGTGAGGAAGTTTAAGGCTGATGTTTGAATCAGCTCTCTGTCTGCTGTTCCAATTCGTTTCTGTGTTTCTCCACATTTAATAAGGGCATTACCTGTAAATGAAACAAGTTTTTTTTTTTTACCATTGTCTGATAATATCAGAAAATAAAATGTCAAGTCAGCAATTTGATCTGCTTTAACTAAGTTAGTTTACTTGAGTAAAAATTAAACAGTTGATTATAATTAAGATAGTTGTATTTTAAAAGTAAATTTAAGATTATTAGTACTAAATGAAAATTATATAGAGGAACTCCTTATCACAGTTAACTGTACCAATTCTACCAATGGACAAAAGAAGATGGATATACAAAAGTATTTATAGTTTCGGTTTAAATAGTGTAGCTATATTTATTAAAGTATAATGCTTAAAATATTTTAATAAGTAGATCAAGTCAAAATTTTGTCTTCTGTTCTAAAGTATGCAGTTTATCTCAGGTATCTATAATAGCATATATTTGTATCCTAAAAAAATTCCATGTTTTGTAACACATGCACTTTACTACTTATATATGACAAGTGCAGTAGAAAACAGAGTAAAAGGGAAACAGACAAAGGTTCTACTCTCAGTTCTAGCTCCAATAAGCTATGTGGATCCTAATTCCTTCATGCTAGGATGAGATTATATCTAATTGGTAAGGAATGCAATAATATACCATAGCAGTTGAGCTCAATTTCCAGATACAGACTTACATTTGAATTACTAGCTATGGGATCACAGATAAATAACCTTTCAAAGACTTGTTTTCCTTCCTCTATCTTCAAAATGGAGATAACAAGAATTTACATTATAAATAAGATATAAACGTGGATTTGCTGAAATAATACATATATTGCATAGTGCTTAGCCCAGTGCCTGGAATAGTCAATTGTTAGTTGTCACCAATAGATTCACAGCGTCCAATTCTGATTATCAGGGTACAGTCAATGGAATTACTAGAGGTCCAAACAGATTACACAGATTAAAAAAGGAAAAAATTCAGAAGCCTTCTGAATGTTCATGCATCACTAGGCCTTCAGCTTAGTGAAAGAAAAGGGCTCAATATACCCCATGTACCTTATGACCCCCAATCTAACTGTGTCTGGCACAGCAGGCAATAAAAACATCTATTTAATGTGAGGAATTTTTCTACAATAGTTAAAATTTATAAATAGAACTATAGAAATTCTAAGCATTTTCAGACTTCTTAAAGAATTCTATTTTGAAGAACACAATGTACAATATTAAAGTCATACATCTAAAAGCCAGTCAATGGATTAATGGCATATATCATTATACAGTACTTAGCTTATTTCCTAGCATAAAGATAACTACTAAAACTAAGTTCATTTACTCCCAGAATTTATGGGCTAGTTCATAAATCAGAACTATATGTAGAAAGTCATTTAATTTACTGACCACTTCATATCCAAATAGGGACCAATTTTTTTGAAAAGTCTTAAAAAAGAGAATAATTAGCCATGAACAATTAGAAAATTAGATTTAAGGGATAATGATGTATAATTTTGACCTTCAGAGTTATACAGTACAGGAACTAACAAGGATGGAGTAATTATAAAAGATGATTACAGAAAATCTGAAGTATATTAGGAAAATAGAAATGAAATATAATCCAAATATCCAGAGAAAACAATGTTAACTTTTTTATGGTACTGACATTATTGGGTGATGAAAGCACACGTGATTTGTTCAAATATTTACTATGTACCAGGCACTTTATTATAGAAATAAATAAGCCCTCAAGAAAGTTAAAAAAAATATCACAAGAAGTACTACAACACAGGTATTGCAAGATTCAACTGAAGTACAAGTGAAGAATTCATAGTTTTTTAGACCTAAAAAAATATGTGAATTCTCTGAATAACTCATTGTGGCAACAAACACTACCCACTTGTAATCTATTGTCCCAAAATAATCACATGTCCACATGGCCCCTCCTTCAGGCAGTATGCTAAGTACACAGCACAGTGATAGCCTGAGGTTGGCAAAATCAAGGCCCCTTTATCTATGGAAACATCTTCCTAGGAGGCAGACGCCTCTGACCAAGGTTTTGTTCCTTGGGGTGCTGGTGGCATAAAAATTATCCCTCTTAGCATAGTATGTAGTTTCTGTCTCTTCACACCATACAAGAAGTTCCCCCTCCCCCTGTCCCCTCCTACGGTAGTGGTATGCAACCTAGTCCAGCTGGCTGTGCCTGGACCCCCTGTATGTATGTAATAGTAAATCCTCATGTCTCAGATGGTGTCTCTGGGTCTTTCCTTTGGTCTTTCAAGCAGCATTCCCCAGGACTTGCCCTCTTGGGCAAGCAAATAGACTTCTGATCACACACATACATACATATTTTTAATATTAGTGATGTATCTAAGTAGTAAAGTTCTAAAAGTAAAGGTATTTCTTAGCATAACTTTTTGTCTCTTGCTTACCATAAGCTGTTCCTGGGCCAAACTCAGTCCCTGCATCAATCATATACTGTCCCAAAAGTTCTGGGTTGTTTATACGACTTGGAGCTTTTCTATCCAGTTTCTCATAAACAAATTCTTCTATCCTGGCATCTAGGAGAAAGGTTTAAAATTACCAATGATTTCAAAAGAGCAAATACTTAAAAGACTGTTTTGTTCCTCTACTAGTGATTTATCACACTGTAAAATAAATGTTAATAAAATTAGCATACTTTCAAGTACATATCTTTATATAATTTTTAATTTATATGTTAGAGTATTATGTAGCAGTAAGAAACTTACGCTTTAGAAATCTGAAAAAATATTTTGGCACTTCAATGAACATCTAGTGAAGTTGCTTTTGCCTCATTCATACACTGCCTAACCTTTCTAACTCTGAATATATGTTCATAATTTCAAAATCAGGGATTTCCAGCTATGAAATCTGGATTTAAGGTACCGAGAAAAACCAGAGTCACTCACATACTACTAACACCTTTATCATGCTTTTGCTTGCTTGCACATTGCCTCCTTCCTAGAGTCTAAATATAGACATGGAGGTGTAAAGAATAGAATAAACCAGGCTTGAAATAGTCTACATACAGAGGTCAACAAAATCACACCTTGGCTTAACTTTAAGTTTGCTTAAAGTATACAGATATGTAGATATCTCTGAGCATATGTTCACGTAAAAGATTTCACCATTAAAAATACAATTAAAATAAAAGACAGAAGGTTACAAGCAGTAATAGAATGTTAGTATAAATGGACAGGGAAAAAAGCCAGTAATATATGAGTATACACTTGGTTAGCACAGTATTTAAGAAATTCACATTTATATTGCTGCCTAACAGCAAGCTATTTGAGACGAATGAGAAAATAGCTGAAGTTTCCAGAAACAATAATTAAATAAAAATTAAAAATTATAATCCAAAAAGAAGCTAAATTAAATAGATTAAATAGGTTCCTTCTAAGCACCTCACGTAATTCCTCCACAAATGGAAGTTTCACAGTGCATGAAAGTTTTAAAATTGAGCTGAACCAGTAACAGAAACACTTCAGGAGTTGCATAAGCATTAATCATAATACATAAAATAGACTGTTGGAGTAATACCCGCTTTCATGGCAGACTCTGGGGCAGCGTCAGAAGAATTTTTAAGCAGGAACTAAAAAACCTTTAGTTAAAACCAAAATGAGTTAGTTAGAAACACAACTATTTAGAAGATTTTAAACTACATTTCAGAATTTCATTTTCTAACTATGAGAGTGATTCTTAGCTTTGCTGCCTGTCTACCTATTTGGCCCAAAGTTTAATGCTGAATCCTATGTTGATTTCATTCAGTTAATAAAATATTTGGTATATTTTTTAAAAAATGTTTCATTTCAATAGGGCATCAATAGATCATAATAAAATCTTAACAAAATAAACAGGCAATTACAATGCAATATATATTTCTGAAAAACCCTAGGTTCTCGATCATACACTAAAAATAACAGGGCTTATAGGAAAAAGAAGGTTGGGGCTTACCACTAAAATCTCTGTAACTTTATAATCAGAGCACAAACAAAAAACAAAAACAAAAAAGACTTCTGTTACTTCTTCAGACTTAAAACACTAATGTAAAATTTTATTATAAGCCATTGTCATTTCTTTATACTGCTGCCATCCCCCTACTTATCAGTCTTGTACGATGAGCTTATCTGCCATTCAGAAAAAAATTGTTGTAGAACAGATTATATATAAGGAACTCTGGACAGAGCAAAAAACAAGAGGAAAAATGTCTTTTTTTTTTTTTTAAGGTGCCAAGGTATATTATTTAAGTAGTCTTACATAAATAAGAAGCAACATATGATATCCAAAGACAACAGGCCTCACTCAAAGCATAAAAGGCCTATTTTAAAAGGTTACCACAATTTAAAATGGCACAAAATTACTAGTATTTTACATAGTGCTTGTGGTTTATGTAATAACAACAAAGTTTAAGGCTTGGAACTTTAAGTTAGTATGTAAAAGTAAGTTTATGCCTTTCACAACAGGGTCCTAATAACACTAGGGGATAGCGGGGCGGAAAGCATGCATTGTTGCCTTTATCCTATGTAAAGCTCATAGTGAAAAGACTGGGTGTCAATAGACCTGGTTCTAGTTCAAGTTCATCTTTTAATTAGCTATGCTACACTGTACAAAATGTCAAGTAGTGAGTTTCAACAAATAAACAGTTATTGTATACCTTATCTGCAAGTATTGAGCTGGGTGATCTGAAAACCTCAGAGTTGTCTAAAAATAAAAAATGGAATAATTTATGTAAAAATGTAAAATTTAACAAAAACAAATAATTAGTAATTATAAGTTTCTATATAATTTTCCCTTAATTACTTAGGGACAATTCTCTTCTGGATGAAAAAGGGAGATCAATTTATTTTGACAGTCCTTCAAAACTCTTAAAATTCAAGTCACTGCCTGAAATTGAGTTTTCAAAAGTATTCTATAAAGGCCTGAAAAACATTGTCAGTTTGTTAGGTGGTACACAAAGAAGTGTATCACCCTCTTCTTCACCATAAAAGCACGTAAGAAAGTTATCATAGACCTCAAAGTCATAAACCAAAAAGCTGTTTTCTAACAGCTATTAAAACTTTTTTTTAGCATTAAAAAAACCTACTATCAATACGTTTTAATTAGTCAATAGAGTAGATAAAAGGTAAAATGTCTCTTACTCGGATTTGGCTGTAGTAACACTTCAGTTTGTTTCATTATTTTTTCTGTCCATATTTTGGTACATTCAGCTTTGCTAAGGAGGTTCTCTAAATGAGCATCCAATTCTGTCTTCTCTGCCTGGCCAAGCTTTTCTTCTGTGAACTGTTATTGATAAAAAAAAAATTAATATACTCAAATACATTTCAGGAACCTGTATCAATCATTAAAAAGAAAACGTAAATCCAATCTTGAACATACAGTAATTGAAAACCACTTCATATGAACACTACTACTTTTGCCATTCTGGTAAATTATCCATACTTCTGTATGGCACTTAAGATGACCTTATATATAGTTAAACGTATCCTTAGTTTTGCTAAAATGTATGGTGTGAATTCTACAGAAAATCTAGCATACTGCCAGGTATATAAGTTTTATAAATATCTCTTACAAATAAAGGTAGGATAGCAAAATGATAAGGATGTAAGAGCTTTGATTCAGTTGGCTTTGAATTCAAATCCTGCCTGTGCTGCTCACTGCATGACCTGGCAAGCTTTTTAATGTTTTCTTCTTAGGTATCCTCTATGTTATAAGAGAGATAATATGTATCTATAATGTTTTGAAAAATTTAAAAATATGTATATAAACCATTCTGTTCAATGCCTGGTAGTTATTATTTTGAATTTAAAAAGGGCTGTTTGTATTAATATGGTTTTATATTTTTGATATTTTATCACACCTAGTAGATAGGCTTTTATGGTATGTTCTGGGAAACTAGCATTTAAGTTGTTTCTTCAGGGTATGTTCGCACAACTGATTTATAAACTAACTTTTGGAACATACCCTATTCATAATATGGTGGCATCTTTTAAAGAGCATATACTTAAATATACTCAACATATCATTTTTTTATTACTTTAAGTGTGCTGGTTTCTGAGGAAAGTCAGCATTGCCCATACAGTAACAAAGAGGTAAAAAGATTTCTCGTACATTTTATGGAGACTTCTGAAGACTTTAATTAAATACTAGAAGTGATGACGCAGGCTGTTTATCATGTATAATTTTCCTCTAGAATATGTGGCTTTCCCCCATCACAATACAAGTATAACACTAGCACTGATTTCATGCTTGTTAGTTGACTCATTTCTGGCTAACAGAAGTGTTCACCTTGCTTTTTTCCCTCTCATTTCTTAAAATATCTTCAGTTGCTCCATTTTTGGTTTAATACTTTCAACTGATTATGAGTTAACACTTTTAGCTGAAAAGTCCCCTAGAATGTTATTATTATACTTCTGCTTACAACCCCCACTGAAGTCTTCTTCAGGAGTTAGAAATAACAGCTTTAATAGCTTTGTAAAGCTTAAGTCTTTTTGAGACAGGCCAGTAGTCAAGCCCTGACCCAATGGGTGGAACTGGGAACAGCAGTTCCAAAACTATTGTGTAAGCCTGTAAAACTTGAAGTGTACTGTAATTGAGTATAGGAGAGGCACTGGACAAAAAGATCAAACCCTTGATCCCAAAGTCAGTTGCAATCTCATTTTTAAGAGAAAACCCTGGTGTTCTCCATAGATCCCTGAAAAATCTAAGCAACAGACTCCTGCAAAGGTATACATTAGACTTTTACATGTTCAAAGTTTTCCTCTTAATGGTTAAATAAATTATCTCCCCAGTAAAACAGTAACAGGAGGGAAAGAAAGAGAATACATCCAGGTGATATCATCTATAAAGGATGATTTTCCAGTAGAGAAATATTCTACACTCAACACATTAATAAACATCCATTCCTTCAAAAAATATCATTAAGCATCTACATTTATGCTAGGCACTATTCTAAGCATATGGGTTTCAGTAGCCAAAAAAATCAGACAGGGTTTCTGCTCTTAGGAAGCTTACATTTTAATGAGGAATACACACAATAAACCAAGTAAAAAAATAATTTGATAATGATACAAAGATAAAAAGATGGTGGAGAGAAGAACAACATGGGTAGGCCTATTGTTTCTTGTGTGAGTGACTGAATAATTGAGCAATAAAGAATTCAAGTGTATTCAAGTGAATTCAATGGAAGAATTCATTCGGCAGTGAAGACAAGGTAGCAAGAGAATCAGGGAAGGCTTCATATGGGGATGGATATGCAACCTGGGCCTGAAGTGGAAGCAGGGGTTTGAGGAGCGTTAAGATGTAGGTGGTTAGAGAAATAGCTTCTCTGAGCAGGTAACAATTGACCTGAGATCAAACAATAAAAAAGGAGCTATGTAAACATTTAAGGAAGACTAGAGAGTCCTCTGAAATTTATCTTCCAGTTGCGTTTCTACCACCTTCATGTATATTAAAATTTTTTTGTAGAAGTCCTTAATTTATATTTAATAACCAAGAACAGATTAATATAACAATCAAAAGATCCATAATTTAAAAATCAGTATTTACCAGGTCAGTCTTTGTGCAAGGCACTCTGCTAAGAACTAAAAGACATGGTTTCCATTATAGGAAAGTTAAATGAAAAAAAATTATCTGAACAGTATAAACCTATAGGCCTACTTTTTTTCAGTACATAAAATCATGTTGAAATTCATCTAAGAGAGAGATGTTTTAGAAACACACAGGAATTAAGGGTACAGGCTATAAATTACTAAAAAATATTTATAAATAGTGATTAAAGAAATAGTCACTGAAATTTATCTGAAAGAAGTTAAGTTTCTGGACAAGTTTCCTCCCAATAATATTTCAAAGAACCAACTAGAAAATAAATTATTTGGAAGACAAAGTATTTTAATCTTCAGGTCAAAAGGCCTGTTTGCTTAATTAATTATCTTCTTTGTGATTCTTTGTGGCACCACCTTACAGGCATCTTTATTGTTTAGTGAAAAGAAGACAAAGGGTGTGAAAGTGTAATAGAACAATTGAGCATCTGCAACAAGTCACTGATTTGTAATCCTCTTTTTTTAGTGAAAAAAAGACAAAGGGTGTGAAAGTGTAATAGAGCAAAATTGAGCATTTGCAACAAGTCAGTGATTTGCACAAGTTTGAGCAAGAAATAAAATATGCAAACTGACTTACTAAATAAGATTCTACAAATACAGTGAATACTTTACTATTTTAGTTCAGAAGGGTAAAAAACAAAAAAAGCAGCATAAGGAACGCTTAAGTATGACAAGTGAGATAAGGAGTAATTAAAGAAAATCTGTTTAGAAAAAAGCAGTTCTGAAGGAAGGCCTTCATAAGTAATTTATTTAAATACCAGTAATAAATTCTATCTCATATTTACTTGCATTTCCCGAGAGAGAATATTGTTATTTTTTTACTCTACCGATATCTGTGCTTCACATTTCAGTACATTATATATGGTCTTGTTTTATCTTCTAATTTGTTTAATTTCTCTTTTCTCAGTAAGATCATTTATTAGACCTTTTTATCCTTCTGTATTCTTAACAGTATCAGGGCTTAGTTTATGTTCTAAAATGCCATCTATTAAGCTGTGCATTTTAATCATATACTCAAAAAATCTTGTTATGTAGGTAAGAATTATAATTTTAGTGATGAAGCTGAGGCTGAGAATGGTTAAACAATTTGCCCAAGGTGTCAGTGTTGGGATTTAATCTCACATCTATTTGAGTTAGTCTTATATTTTACTACCCTTCTAGTAAATACTTGCTGATTTTAAAAAGTTAATATAGTCTATCATGATAATCCAACATATTCTGTGTTTCCAGGCCTCTGTTTGTTCTAACCAGCACTCTGGTTAGCTGTATTATACAGCAAACCTCTGCTTCCTACATGATATTTAATAATCACCAAATTAAAGGTAACTTTAATCCTATGTAGAATGAACAAATAAAGGGAGGGTACATAAGAATATTGCTAATGTTATTATTATACATTAAGTTCAAATTATAAAGATAAATTTTGTTACTTAAATGTGTAATTGTAAGAGACAGTATTTCCCATGATCTTACCATTGTGGGAGCTTAAGGATTTTTTTCACTTTTAATCAGAAGGTATGACATATTAAGATGAAAGAGTACAATATTTAACACATACATTTTTCTCTAAAGCATTTTTAAGTGCAAGTTTCCTCCCAATAATATTTCAAAGAACCAACTAGAAAATGATGAGTTTTATCAACTAAATTAAGGAGGTTTAAATTATTATCAAAAATATTTATGAAGAACACATTTAAGGAGGTTTAAATTATTATCAAAAATATTTATGAAGAATACATTTCTTCTACTGTATGGGAGATGTATAATCAGCACATAACATGGTTCTTGCTCTTAAGGATTTTATGAACTTAAAAATATCTAAACACAAACATACAATTATAATAACATTACCCTTTTCAGAAGGACAAAAGCTTATTGTTTCTTAAAAAAAAAAAAACACCTTTCCTAATTACCAAAAATTGTAAGCTCTACCCTTACATTTTTAATTTTCAATATCTTTAAGTCCAAAGTTACTATTGACTTTGTAGTCTCTTGAAGATGATAGTTAGAAACTACAGTTGGTTTTAAGCATATATTTTAATCACTGTATAGCAGTATGATTTAATAATTAAAAACTTGTGAAAACCCACATGAAAATCAGAATGTGAATTAATTGTAACAAATCCAAACCTAACATTCTCTAAAAGATAATTTGATGTACAATTCTTTCATAATATTCCATTAGTAATACAATAAAATGACATGAGAGTAGAAAGTTTAATCTTCTCTCTAAATACTGTTTTAAGGAAAAGACTGTCCTTGAGTCAGGTACACTATGCCAGGCACTAGAATCCTTCCTTTATTATGGTATAGGCATGTAGCTTCTGGAGCCTGGATTCCATACCCTGCTTTAGTAGAAAGAAAAAAGCACTATAAGTAAAACGGCAGTGTGATCCAAGATATCTATTTAATAAAAACTCTAACCAACAATTCTTTGGGTAAAGTAGTATTTTAAAAGTAATCTTCTTGGAAGAAAACGTATAATACAAATTCTGAATATAACGTATTAGTACATTGTAAAGTAAATCCCTCTCAACTGTTTTTCAATTTAGGCTGCTCTTTAGAATTACTTGGGGGAGCTTTCAAGAACACTGATGCCAAATTTAACCCAAAAGATTCTAATTTATCTGGAATGAGAGGCAGCTTATAAAGATTCCTCATGTAATTTTAGGTGCAGCTAAGACTGAGAACTACTTATTCTAAGCTCCTATGTAACTATTTTAACATCAAGTTGACAGATCACCTTCTTTCTAGTAGTTAACAATCAACACAAACAGCACCAAAGGATGTGAACACAAGTTTTGGGTAACACTAAATATGCAGTTTTTACATAATAACAGAATGTATGGGCTTTGAGTGTTATATTTATTAGAATTTGAGAAAAATGGTAAAGTTATTGCAGTTTAAATTCAAAGGGATTTCAGAAGGGCTTGAGAGAGTGTTTAGCCAAGTTGGAACTTCCTCCAGAAGCTAGTTGAGGACAGTATCATAGTCATCCTTCACACCTCCAACTTAGATGTATCATTACACTTGCTAAATTAAATGGGATATCAAGACCATACTTGCAACTAAAATTTAAGACTTTTTTCCCCTTCAGAAAAAAGCCAGCATTCATGAAGTTCACAGTGTAATTTCAATAGTTCAAAGGAAATGTTAGAAAATTAAAATGAATCCCTTAATTTAGTTTGAAAATATTTTTAAAGAAGGTATATGCTCTTATTCTTAAGATAGTGAGGCAAAGTTTTGCTTGACTACTGAGTTACAGATGTGCCCAGTTTTCAAATAAAATGTGAGAACAATAATGCACAAAATTGTTATTTACTACAAAGAATAAAAGACTTCATTATAACAAGTTGGGACCCAACTATGAAATCTTTGAAGGCAGCAATTGGATCTCATTTATCTTTGTCTCCTTCATTGCCAAGTACCTGGGAGGTACTTAATAAATGTACGTTGAATTAAACAGTTTATTATTTTAGAGAGGCATTAATCAGCTTCAAGGTCAGGAGATAAAATTTTAGAAAAATACTAATGAAAACGGCAAAATTATTTAACATGCTAAATGATTCAAAGAGTAAACTTTGTATATGGATACTACTTATATGGCTAAAATGATATAAAAAAATTAAGAAGAACCCTGTTGGATGTTGTGAGAGGTAATATGAAATAAAGAGTTGATTCCTTAGGACATACAATCTTATTAAAGATGTGAAAGCCATAAAGTAATAGAATTTAAGCACTCCATGGGACTTTACATAACAGTTCATCAGAAGAAAACGCCACATAATCATATAGAATTGAAAAATGACACAGGATTTCACATTAAGCTCCTGTGGTCTGAGGTGGACTTTAAGTTGTATCTTGAGAGAAGGAAAGACAACAGAGAGGTGGCAGAGGGCATCCAAGATGAGTTTAACTGTACGAACAAAAGTCTATAGAGTTAGAAAAGTACAAGGTACTTTAGAAATAAAAAAGTAATTTGATAAGAATGCTGTCTTTATATGATTGGCTGGAATCAGAAAAGAGGCTGGAAGGGAGTATTTTATGCTCAACTAAGTAGTTTAAACCTAAATGATAGATTCTAAGAACTAATAAAGGGATGTTAGGACACTTAACTAATAAGGTAACAATTTATTGAGGATAAATTAAGTTTTGTATTCTACTGTTTTGAGGGAGTAAGAACAACAAAAGCACCCAAATGGACTGTTAAATAAGGAATGAATATTCCTATTCATTTATACATTTTACCTTAATATTCTTCTTAAAGTACCATGGAATATAAACAAATTTTAGAAGAGAGTGGAAAGATGAGACAAATTTATATGCTTTTACATTTTGATTTTACTTTTTTAAAAACAGGGAACATGTTTCATTTTTAACTTAAAATGTTTTAAGTAAAATGAAAAAGTGCATGGCCATTGGGCAACCAAAAAATGACCTGTTCTGTAAGGTATGATTTGATTTCAATAGAAATTTGTCGTGAGTAACTGGCATAGCTCTATGTTATTTTCAGCATGAAAGTTGGCATTTTGGCACTATACTTATGTCAACTCAATTTGGAGTTGGAACTCAGTGATTTGACTAAATACTGAGATGACAAAGCAGTGTTTTGTTGAAAATTACCACACAACATTCCAAATTTCACATTACACTTTGGAAGCATCTTTTTTTCTTATGTATATTATTTTTAAAAGTATTGCGGAAAATGTCAAATATATGATTATAATGGTATAATGAAACCTCATGGACCCACAATCCAGCTTCAACAACTATTAACATTCTGCCAGTGTTGTTTCAACCACACCCCTTCACTTCATGGAGTTTTCACACGGAAGAAATGATAAAAATCTATTTCAATTACTTTTTAGAAGTCAAATTTACATAATCACTTAGCTATTACCATATATAAAGGGGGTTAATAACATCTAACTCACATACTTACAGAAAGGACTGGACAGAATAGCTCAAATGCCTAGCAAAATGTTTTGTTTGGCAAAGTTTTTTCACAATACAGTTAGCTATTACCTTGCTCTAGTTCTACCATTCTTTGGCCAAAAACCGAAATAATTTAAAGCAATTCTTCCATATTATAATTCATACATTAATATTTCAGAATACGCCTCTAACAGATAACAGATTTTATATAAGAAGACACACTAGAGAAGCTCATTCCTCCTGAAATTTTACCCTTGTTAGTAAATGGCTCATGCCAAAACCTCAGAGTCATCCTTGACTCATCATTCTCCCTTACCCCAGAATCTGACAGGCAATACTGGATAGATTCTGAACCTCACCTGCTGTCACTCGAAGTTCACATCATATTTTGCCTATTGATGGCCACAGCTCCCTAACTGGTCTCCCTAGTGCTCCTGTGACCTCGGAGTCTTTGCATTTGTTCTCTCTGCCTGAATGCTTTTACTTCCTTGACATGTCTTCAAATTCGATCTATACAACATGTTAACATCTTCTACCCCTGACATTAACCTATCCCCTGTGGCCTTTTTCTCCATTACCACCTAATGTATTTACGAGTCTGTCCTCTCCTGCTAAATTGTAAACCCTGAAAGAGCAGATATTTGGTTAATTCACTGCTGTTATCAACAGTATCCAAAATAGCAGTGACAAGAAGACACAGAGTAGGCACTTAAATATTTAAGACTGAAAATTATTTGACAGCTAACAGATTAGGATAATATTTAAAAAAATTTTTCTACAGTATTTGAAACAATGAGTTATTAAAATTCATCCAGAAAGTGTATCGTTTGGGAGCTGTGCCAGATTTATTTTTAAAATCAAGCCGGACAATTTAAATCAAATTCTAGTATATATGCCCTATTTAAACAGTATGAATTATACCTGAAAACATACCTAACTGTATTTAAAAGAGTGGCATTAGTGTCAAATCTGTATTCACACCTAGAATAAAAGGAAATCAGCACCAAAAACAAAGAATCCCAAACTCTGGCTCTCCTGCAGTCAATATTATATCTCACAAACCAAAATTATTTTCACACCCTCAATCACTCATTCTTCCTGCCCTTTGTCTTTGAACTATGACAAGGGGGCTAATTTACATCAAGAAATTATTTTAACTATAAAGTTCAATGTCTTTACAATATACTTCTTATTTCATTGGAGGAGGCGGAGAAAACGTTAAGGCAGCTAGCTTATTATTCACCATGCAGATTTTGGAACTTGAAGTCAAGACTTCTCATCCATTAAGTGTTAGTTGCTTAAATGCTGTTGAAATGCTCAGATTGTACTAGAAGATCTTTAGGTCTCTCTAGGCTGTAACATTCTGTTAATATATATATATATATACACTAAACTTGGCAACGCTTGCCCAAGAAGAGAGAAACAGCTTCTAGTAAGCATTTGGCTATTTATTAGTCGTGCAAGTTAAGCACATTATTTACCTCTCTGAGGCTCCTTACTTATATATAAAAGGGAGTTAATAACATCTATCTGGCAAACTTACAGAGAGGACTGGAGATAATAGCTCAAATGCCTAGCAAAATGTTTTGTTTGAGATTGTTTTTTCACAATACAGTTAGCCATTACCTTGCGCTGGTTGTACCATTCTTTTGCCAAGAATTGTGCAATTTGAGATCAACTATGCCAATAAAATTGGGGTAGAGAAGAAAAGGAAAGCAATAGAGCAATACAACTGATTTACATTTCAGGGTCGATACAGTATGTAGATTAGAAAACTATTTTTGTTTTTAAAAAAGAGAATGTTGCTGCTACAGTGTGTCATTTAACTTCAACACCAGATTGTTTATAATCCATGTTGTGGTGAAATTTACATCTGCTCCAGGATTTAAGTGAGTTGGCATCATGTAGGTGACGACTGCAGAAAACTGTCCCCTAGTAATGACATTTCCTAGACTGCAAGATACCGCAACATAAATTTCCCCTTCCAATGTATCCGAAACGTTAACGCTGTGACTATAGGCCTAACACGATTCTCCCCCGTCTCCCTCTCTCCTTGCCGTGCTGCCGATGCTTCTCATTTTGAGAATGGGTGAGAATCCCCAAACTCCAGGTTTTCCGTGGCCTTGGCACAGTCTGGACGCCAACCGGCGATCTCCATTTCTCCCGCAGACTGCCAAGCCCAGGACCGTCCTTTCAGGGAAGGTGGGGGGGGGCCAGGAGGGAAACTGTTGGCAGCTCTTTGGGTTGAGGGGCAGGAAAAGGACACTTCCTTCTTGGACACAACAGGGAGGGTGAGAGGGACCGAAGGGAAGGGTGGGGGTGGTGCAAGAATGGCCCATCTGTCGGTCACCCCGCGGGGTTCGCAAGGCCTCCACCTCAGCGGGAGGAGGTCACACGAGCCCTGGCGTCGTGGGTCAGGAAGGCGGACGGTGCTGCGCCTCCACCCAAGGCCGACCTCAAGGTGTCTCCCAGGGGCAGGAGGAACACCGGCCCCATCCTCACCCCGCTTCCGGGGCAGCGGCGGTTGGGCAGGAGCGAGAAAGACAACGGCCGCCGAGCTCGGAGGGGCACCAGGCCGCGCCCACAAGCCGGCTCTGGGGCCGGAGGAGGCCGGGGGTTCGCGGGCAGCTGAGGGAGGGCGGCGCCGCCGCCTCGGGCCGGGCGCCCGGCTGCCCTTCCTGGGTTCCCGCCGCGCCACCGCCCTTTCCCCACCGCGGTACCTGCACGGCACGACTGAGGAAGGTGCCCGCGTCGGCCGCCAGCTTTTTCACGTTGAAGTCCATGATGTTCATCTTGGGCGGCAGCCGAGCGGAGCCGCCGACGGACCTAGCGGGGAGGCGGCGGCGCCCGGCCGGAGTGGCAGGGGTAGACGCGGTGGGTGTATGGAGGCGGCGCCAGGCCCGCCGCCGCAGCTGTCGTTTCCGCGAAGGCGGGGCCAAAGGGTGGGGCGAGGGGCGAGAACGGGCGCCCAGGAGACGGCCGCGCGCCCAGGCGGAGGCTGTCGAGACCTAGGCCAGTTTCGATGGCAGCGCCGCGCGAACGTCCGCGCAGGCCGCGGTTGGCAAGCCGAAGGCTGACGGACCGGCTATCCGGCCGACCCAGGCCGAGAACCCGTCCGAGGAAGAGAGCTCCCCGCCCGGGGCGGAGCCTTTATGGAGGTCATTGCGGAACAGCGACCCCTTCAGAACCTCTGCAGCCCAGCGCCCAAGCGCGCCGCGAGCTCGGCTAGTTCCGCCCGGGGGAGGGTCGCGTTCGCAGCCGACGGTCGCTGCGGCGTTGCAGCGCGTTTGCTGTTACGCCCCTGAGAACCCAGAGCAGAGACAACCCAAGTCACCCTTTTTGTTTTAAGAGAAAATATGGAAATTGTGGCAGAAAATCACAATAGCTATGAAATTGGAACGAACATTTTGTAGCATTCACGCCCCGCTGGATCCCTGACGCCCTGATGGCACTTTTGTAGATCGAACGTTTGTAGAGTAGGGTTGAATGTATTGTCCCTACCGAGCCTGGCGTTCATTTATTCAGCATTATTAAGCATCTGTGTAGCAGATTGAATCAGGGGCCGGAGATAATCATGCTGAACAAGACTCTGTCCCTGCCCTCAAGAAGTTCTCAGTTCCGTTACTTGGCAGCCTTCGGGGACTTGTTCACCCCCACCAGAAGCTCTATGACTATTTGCTGCTTCAGGGACTTTGTTACTGCCTTATGGCAGCCTGCACACGCTCGCTTACAGGATCAACACTAGGCCTACTGTGTGCAAAGTACAGTGCGCAGGACACAGCGCCAGGTGGAGGACACAGAGTATAAGATGGTGAGTGAGAGAGAATAACCCTTAAGCGTTTAGTGTGGTGAATTTTATTAACTAATGAGAATATGATGTGAAGTCTGTTCAAAGTCCCATATTCTGAGTAACTTAAGCAGTTTTCATGAAATAGCCTGTGCTTGAACAAAGTTGAAATGAACAGCGTTGGGGGAGAGACGTTAGTATTTTTTATGTATTTTTGTGTCCTATGCCCTTCTGTTACATTAGGGCTGGGAAAATGCAGGCCCATCAGGCAGTGAAATGAGCTTACATGCATGCTTTAGGGTTTTACTCAAACAGCAGTCACAGAAGTAGCAGCTGTTGTTAAAGGCTGAGAGATTAGCTCTTAAAAGCATTATAAGAAACAGCAGTTAACATGTAAATATTTGTGTTGTTTTATTCTTTGTGTTGGTGACAGAAAGAACCTCTTCTTTCTAAAGTAACTGCAACACAATGAGTCTACTCGACCGGAAGTACTCCATGGATCTTTCATCTCAACCTATTTTATCAAGAAATAAGAAAAAAGAAATATATAATCAGGTATCTTGTTTTTCACTTATCGTTCATTTTAGATTTTCATGTGGAAAAGCACTTACTCTCTTTGCAGATGTCTGTCTTCACATTAAGTATATTTGCCATAATCTATACCCATGTCTACAAAAGGATCACAACACCGAGTCCCGCATTTCAGGAAAAAGCTCTGGATTCTTTTCCTTGAATATGTAGATACTACCAACTTGAAAAAAACATCTTCACTTCTTCCTGTTAAGTCCTCTATAGCTGTATTGTTGTTTCTTTCACTGACAAATTCATAAGACTAGTGCATTGCCTTTACTTCCTTACCATCCATTTCTTGCCTAATTCCGTTCAGTTGGCTTCTACTTCTGTAACTATACCTAACCAGCATTCTTGAGGTTGCTAGTTATCTTCTGGTAAACAGGAATTGAATAAGTAGTTGTAAGTGTGATGAAATGCTAAGGAGGAATTCAGAGTACTCTTAAATACTCATCTCCAGCCTGTAACTAATCTGAACTCTGATTGGGAGGCTTGGTCTTTCTGTCAGGGCTCCAAATCACCTTTTCTGTCCCCTATACTAACTTCTTATTCTAGTAGTACAAGGCATTAGGAAGGCTGTCTTTTAAAGCTCATGCAGTGTTCCCTCCACCCTTCTGACCCATTCCCGGATTAATGTTTTCTCTGTTCATGCTCTAAGCTGCCAACCATTGTTAGGGAAAATTGCATGACCTTGTAGATGGATGCTACTACCAATGCATGATCACCAGCTTCCATAGAACCTTTATAACTACCTAGAAATGCTTTTACTTCTTCCTAATCAACTCCGTTTTACACTATCTGTAGATCTTACAGTAAAACTTTGTTACTTTTCTTAAGATCCTTACCTTGTTCTCATATACCCTTATGCTTTGCCTTTGATACTTTTTCTTTACAGAGAAACTAGAAATCATCAATCTATTTGGTAGGATCTCTTTCATCCAAATTCCCTTACTTCCACCTCTTATTCTTCTCCACACTCCAGCCCCCATTTTTGCGAAATATTTCCATGGAAAAGGTACACAGTTCTGAGTGGAGCTCCTATTCTCTTAATTTTGGCTGCACATTAGCATTACCTGGAAAGCTTAATGTGGCTCTGGGAGGAAGGGAGTTCCCCATCTAAAGCAAGTTCCTCACGAATATGGTAAGAGCAAAGGAAAACAAGGGCAAGCGGTTGGAAATGAAAGGGTTTTTTATTCTCACAGCTGTCTCCCTCCCCTATGGCACTCTGCTCTGAACCCTGGCCTCTAGGCTCTCTCTCAGTGCACTTTAGCCCCTTTCACTCGATTCTCCTACCCAGCTCCTTCTCTCTGGTAATGGGCATGCACTCCGCTTCCACCCGCCGTCCTTTAGGAGCAACTCTGTGGGTGGGTCCCTGGTGACTGGCAGGTGCCTGACCAATTATGTACCAGGAACAGAGGGGAGGAGAATGGTAGTTGCTCTCCACCCCTTACCCCAGATGGGCGATCCTGTGATCAGCCCTCTGCCACTGGGAAACACCACACTCATGTGCGAACAGGCTCTTACATGTATGCAACAGCCACTATCAAGGCCAGGCAGGAATCCTGGTTAGAAAGTTCCATTTACACCACATTTAAGCAACTGCTAATGCCTAGACCCCACTGCCAGCATGTGGACTGAGCATTGGCATGTTTAGAGGTATCCCCAGGTGATTCTAATGTGTCGTCAAGGTTAAAAATGAACCTATTATCCTCTGAGGACTCAATCCATCAGTCTTTACTCTTTGCCCACATATAGATTCCATTTCACTTATGGATTAAGTTTTTCAAAAGCAGCAACCATTTCTTACTCATTTTTATATTTTTTATGGTACAAAATACTGGCAACATAGTAGAATCTCAAATAACTTGTTAAATGAATAAAGTAATTAAATTAAGATGTATACAGTTCTTTTGTGACCTCCTCCTCCCCAACCATAATTTCCAACTCCAGATTCAGTATTTGCGCTGCTGAGACAATTGTAGTTTGCTTTTCTTCTTGGGTTTCCTATAATGATAAATTGAATTAAATGCACCAAGTCACCTAAGCTAGAATTTTTACTTTGCTTTGACTTTTTCCTCTTACTTCCCATTTCTGATTAATCAAGTCCTGACGTTTTTTTCTGTTTCTAATCTTCATCTTTTTATTTTTAAATTGAGATATGGTAACATTAGTTTCAAATGTACAACATAATGGTTTGCTATTTGTATATATTGTGAAATGATTACCACAGTATGTCTAGTTAACATCCTTCATCTTACATAGTTATACAATTTTTTTTCTTGTGATGAGAATTCTTAAGATCCATTAGCAACCTTTAAATATGCAATGCGCTATTATTAACTGTAGTGTCCATGCTATACATTACATCCCCATGACTTATTTTATAACTGGAGGTTTGTATCTTTTAAACCTGTTTACCCATGTCTCTCCAATCTTCCTCCTTGCAACCACCAGTCAGTTGTCTGTGTTATGAGGTTGTTGTTTTTTTGTTTTTTAAGATTCTACATCTAAGTGAGATAATAAGGTATTTGTCTTTGTCTGACATTTCACATCATAATGATGTTGAGGTGCACCCATGTTGTCATAAATGGCAATATATATATTTTTTGGTTGAATAATACTCTATCATATATGTATACCATGTTTTCTTTATCCATTCATCCATTAAGGGACACTTTGGTTGTTTCCATATCTTGGTTATTCTGTATAATGCTGTGATAAACATGGAGATGCAAATATCTTTTTGAATTAATGTTTTTGTATTCTTTGGATAAATAACCAGAAGGGGAATTGATAGATCATATGTTAGTTCTATTTTCAGTTTTTTGAGGAACTTCTATATTGCTTTCCAGAATGACTGTACCAATTTACATTTCTACCAACAGTGCTTATTCCCTTTTCTCCACATTGTCCATCACATTTGTTATTTCTTGTCTTTGTAATAGAAGCCATTCTAACTGGTATAAGGTGATATCTCACTGTGGTCTTGATTTGCACTTACCTTATAATCAGTGATGTTGAACATCTTTTCATGTACCTGTTGGCCATCTGTGTGTCTGAAAAAATGTCTATTCAGACCTCTGCCAATTTTCAAATTTTATTTTATTTTTTGCAACTGAGTTGTATCAGTTTTTAAAAAAATATATTTTGGCTATTAAACCTTTACCAGGTGATATGACTTAAAAATATTTCCTCCTACCTAGTAGGTTGCCTTTTCATTTTGTTGATGGTTTCTTTTGCTGTGCAGAAGTGTTTTAGTTTCAGGTAGTCTCAGTGGTTTATTTGTGCTTTTGTTGCTCTTGCTTTTGGTGTCTGATTAAAAAAATCATTGCCAAAACCTTTATCAAGGAGCTTACTGCCTATGTTTTCTTCTAGGAGTTTTATGTTTTCAATTATTACACTCAAGTCTTTAACCCATTTTGAGTTAATTTTTGTATATGGTGTAAGATGATGGTACAGTTTCATTCTTTTGCATGTGGGTGTCCAATTTTCCCATTACCATTTATTGAAAAGACTATCCTTTCCCTTTGTAATTCTTGGCCCCTTTGTCATAAATTAATTGATCATGTATGTATGTATTTATTTTTTGTCCTTTCTAATCTGTTTTTTTAATCTATGTGCCTGTTTTTATGCCAATACCATACTGATTTGATTACTGTAGCTTTGAAATATAGTTTGAAATCAAGAAGCACGATGCCTTCAGCTTTGCTCTTCTTTCTCAACATTACTTTGCTATTTGGAGATCTTTTGTGTTTCTATATAAAGTTTAGGATTGTT